GGGCCACGTGTACGCGCAGCCATAGTCAAGAAGCAGAGACCAGTGACGTATCGTGCCCTTCTTCACTGTGTCTGCGTGCACGTGTGACCCACCGCTCAGCTGATTGGAGTTCGTTTAACTGCTAATACCACGAAAATGGAACTTCAAATTACAAAACAGTAAAGAACTTTTCGATTTGTACTTGCATGAGGAAGATGCACGTTGCCGATTGTCCCATCTATTTGGGACATCCTGTATATTTCAGCCGAGCGAATAACGTCGTCCATTGTCTACAGACATTTTTCTCGTCCCAGCTACCTACTACGTGGCGAAGCCCCCGCAGTTTGTCTTGCATGACCGAGGGAGCCGACATCGACGCGGAGTAAATCATGATTAATCGCCGTTTCATAGACGGCCGTGTAAGTCGTGAAAATTAATGTAACAGTGTAACTCGTGATTACGTATTACGCGTGTCACGTATCTAGGGCCTGTTACCGCTGTCGGATCGGCTCAATGTGGAACACGGCCGTACGCCCTGTCCTCTCTCGTGCTTTATCACGTGACTCTATGTATACATATATCGGTGATACGCCTCCGGGGAATAAGAAATTCCGTTTCCAATACGAGTAAGCTCGTTATGATAACGCTTCGCAGGGTATTACGCGACGGATGATTACGGGGACACGTGGTTCCTTTCACGCGGAATTAATTTATTTCCCGTTGCAGATACAATATCCGCAAGATCTCTACCCATGGAAAAACCTTGATTTACCTAGCGAAATGCTCGTTAAATTTGTGTCTAAAGGAAATGTTACACTTTTTACGGATTTCATTGGGAAAATAATAAGAGTGATATTGTAGCAGGTGGATTTATCCGGCGTAATTCCGCCAATAGAAGTATGTGGGTCACGAGGAAACGCTACCGAAGAGAGTTCCGTGATCGTGTAACCCACTCGTCACGCGGCTCGCAGTCACGGCGCTTTAAATTTTCCCCGTGAAGCCAGGCGGGCCGGTGCGGTCGGTTATTTTTCCTGTCTTCGTCAGGCGTGAACCTGTCGCGAAAGGTGAAACGGAGGACGGGGGCTTTGCTTTGTCCACTTAAAATGACGTCCGATTATAAACCCGCGGGGAAACGCCGGCAAACGCGCGGGTCCGCGTAAAAAGGTCGCGCAACTACGACGGAGGCGAAGAATAATTATCTCGCCGGGGGAAGCGAGACGGAAGAAGGTGCGCACCGGGTTCAAGAGTAATAAAGTGAAATGAAAATATTATTCCGTGCTCTCAGCCCGCCCCCGTTGTTACCCACCTTACATACGATGTTTTCCTCTCCTATTCCGACGGGTTCTCGATCTACGGAGCATTCCTGATTTTTAGCGAAGTTGTAATTTCACTTCCGTTGAAGACCGCGACCGTTTTACATTGCGAGAAAAACGCACGGTATAGGGTTGTGCACAAGTGAATAATTATTCTGATTCATAAACACCGAAGCAAAAGGGAAACTAACCAGAATATATGTACATCTAATACACAGTTGAAAGTAGAAGTGAAAACATAGAGACCATCAAAAAGAATGTCAAGTGGCTCGGGGTATAACAATATTTAATACAATAACCTTGTAGATTAACAGAAAGAAGTAAATGAATAAATCATGAAACACACAAGTGAAGTCAACAATCACAGACATACAATCTACATACTATTAATTAATAGCATTATGACACGCAACAATATAATTCTTACCATGGTACAAGTGAAAAACTAGTCAAAGGAAACTTGATGTTGAAAGTCAGAGTGCAATTTGCTACTATGTAAAACAATATATTCGTTCTTTCAGAACATCAAAGCAAATGTCTGGGGGGCATCGAGGCAAAAGCAAGGATTGTATTTTTATGATTGTACTTACAAGAAACAGGCAATTAAACGTTCTCTGAAATTGTTAAATGAATGTGTCGTGTGATCTCAACGTTTGGCTAATAAGATTTTTCTCCGTTATTTTCTATTTTGCTTTTGTCGAAAAGGACTACCTTTGAGGTGGAGATTTTTAAGACTGCTTTGGTCAACTCGTGTCATACCGTTTTTTCTTAAAGTGACAAGCTACATTTTCGTTCTTTTGCAAAACAATCGCAAATTAATTGTGATGCATAATTCGGCAGAATAGTCTCATTAGTTGGGGGCGGATTGAAAGGAAAATTGAATTCGCGAAAAAATGTTCGCGCCGGTACAGAATAATGGGGCGAAAAGGAAGTAGCGGTACTTGAAACTTGCGGAACGGATGTAGAATGAACTGCACCCTGGGGAACGGTCTCGCAGAACAAAATTAACACTTCGTTCTTTTAATTTTCACTTTTAATTCACCGTTTCTCGAGACACCGTCAAGAAAACAAGATATATACCTTCGAAAGACAATGCCACATGATTGTACCGTTCTCCTTCTTTGGATATGATGAAAAATTAACGGAGAACTGTAGACTGATTAAACTCGCAGTAGTTCAATTTTCTCAACCTTACAGTATTTGCATTTTTTTAAATTCGCGAACAGTTGCTAATTCATGCGAACCTTGCTTATGGGTTCCGAAACTATGAGCGTTTAAAGTGAATACTGTAAGTAGCAAGAAGGTAATAGCACGTTACGTATTAATGAATAAAACTGAATGAGAGTCGTAGTACGCCTAGTAGGATAATCTATTGTAACCATTAAAACAGACTTGCCCCCATCAATGAATTACTATAGTAGATACGTATTATATTATCCATTCTAGTGTAGTAAAAGTTACACGCATTGTCAATATTTAGCACCAACACACAAAAATTAAGCAGTGTTTGAATAATTTTTAAGAAATTTCTATTGTTTTTGTAATTAACGGTGTACTTACCAATATGTCCACTGACTTATCGACGGCAGCACGTATGAATCGAATTGTAGCGACAGCAGCGCCACTCTGGTAGATTTAACCGTCCTAAGGCCGACTGCTCTCGTTACCCGCGATCCACGATGCTCTTGAAGCGCAGTACCAACGCAGTTCCTTCTCGTGTAAGTAACACAAAATTAAATTTACATTTCCTGGAAAAACACGCGGTTCCATCACAAAACTATGGAAATTTCCACGGCCAGGTCACACGCGTTGTTAAACATTTATATTTTCTCGCACGCATGAAATATTCCCCGGGCTGGAAAAGTTTTGTTTCGGCGTCCTGTGGCTCGAGTTATTCTTCGTTTCATGACTCTGAACAATAGAAAGAATGAAAAACCCACGTTCGTTCGTTCTCGTTTGCGACGTTCTTGGTACAAACTCTTATACGTTCACTTAGAAACGGAATAACGGAATAAGAAAAACGGCGCGTTTGACAAACAACCGTGCCACTCGCGGCCATGTTGAATCCTGAGAAATGGCGCCAAAGTAACGCCATGATGGATTACACGAACCGTATTTGAACCGAACTTTCTTCATTTCTGTTGTTTTCTGCAAATCGAGTTAATCGCGAAATAGTCTGGCAATATAATCGATGAAAGTCTCGTAATTCTTATGTACGGCGGGTCTGTTTATGATGGTTCAGACTTGTTGGACTCTGCAGTCGAACCGTATATAGAGGAATTAAAAACAATGACATTGCTACTACAAAGTTTATACGATATATTTAATAGCCAGAACTGTTGCCCCTGCTATCGAAACACATTTTTCATACCTTATGATCAGACACTCCATATCGTCGAAAACGCTTAATGGCTGGCGATCTTGGCGAAATATCGGGTCGAGATCGCTCGGTGAAATATGTGACCGTTAAGTCGTAAAAACCAGATCAGAAGTGGCGAGAACCTTCCGCCGATCGGTTTCAAAGAGAGACAAGGGAAGGGGGGGGGGTTGTTAAATGACTAGATTTCGATTTACGACTCGAAAAATCCGTCCATCTTTCGGGAGCAGCGCGCAGAGTGCACGAAAAACTGTCACGAGCTCGATCTCGATACATACATATATGTATGTATACATATATACACGCAGGACAGTGAATTTTTTTACGGGTATTCCCAGCGGTAGCGTACGCTTCGTAATTAATTACAGCGGAGGTGGTGTTCTTTTATCGACTTCCGTTTCGCGAGTGGCTCGTAAAAATCCGTGAGAGTCCGTGCAGTCTACCTGTACTCTGCCCTCGCTACGTTTTCCATTCTCCGTCCTCCATTTTCCCTGTCCCGTTACCGCGTCGTTCTTCTCCGGCCGCTTTCAAATTCCGCGGCGAACTTTACCCCAGCACGGCTGCGATATACGTAAGAGGTAAATGAATAATTTCGAACGGCGGCGGTGCGGTCGGCCGTAAAGAAAAAATTAACGTGGAAAACTCATGCGCGCGCGCGAGCTCGCGTACGCGATAACTGAAAATAGCTTAACCGTGACGCGTGTCGTTGTCCCCGAACGGAAATTTTATTGCATGCAATCTTCGATTACTTTCGATCGGACCAATTAGATACCGTTCCGAGCCGTGTAATTTCGGTCCATTCGTCTGTCTTTATTTCGGCTCGCTGCTTTTCCATCGAACAATGGGAAACAGAGAGCGAGATAGAGAGTACGAGACAGAAAAGATCATCAATTGCTCGTTGCTGTTCTTATCCCGGCTCGGCTCGAATGGAACGCGATTTTTCGTTATTCTGAGTAACCCGCCGGCGTTATTGCCGTTTATAAATAATAGAAACGCTTTGCCCAGGGGAGTCGCTAAATTGCGAAACCTTCTGTCGTCTTTCAAACCGTTTGCTTTTCGTTTTGCTCCAGCTCGCTTCCACGCGATCGTTTACATCCGGCCTCGTTTCGATAATTTCGATTTTCTGTAATTAACATGCGCTCGAATCTTTCGTCGCTAAATTTTTCTTAGCTGCCCCGACTCGCGGTTATTAATCATTTTTTCGCGTCGCGGTAATGCACTTCCGACGCGAACTTTCTCATCCCTTCGTCTGCTTTAAAGTGTCTCCTATAAAAGACGGTGTCGTATATCTCTTTTATACCTAATGTCCGGTGCAATGTTTCTGCTTTCAGGATCCGACATCAAAGTACCGGTCGCCATACTGAATTGTCTCTACGCGCGTCAATTGTGCTTCGAGGATCCATCTTGCAGTGCGATTCTAGAAATTATACCGAGGGTTTGCGGTCCGGAAATAGGTGAGTAATGAAACCATATACTTCAAGCTCTTTATTTATGTGGTAGCAAACACTTTGCACGTCAACGAGAGAGATATTCTGGACTTTACTATTCTTCGTTACTTATTATGTCTTACCTGCCTTTATCGTTCGACGCCATTTTGACTAACCGGAAGATCAGAAAGTTACCAATGAATTTAAACGACATTTCACCGTTTCTGAATCTATGGCGGATCACTTATTGGTATAATTAACTGTCTTCGCTATCTAAAGTATTAAACTCTATCTAAATTTCTCAAGATCACCAATATCGCGAATACACGTTTATCGCTCTGTACAAGAGCCCTGAAAATCGCACACGTTCGAATTCCAACAGTTTCGTTCGCGATGGACACTAGTTTCCCTGGGGCTCGGTTCCAGCTAAAAATTCGCCGCGGTGCCGGTTCTAGTGTTTTTCTTGTTTTAAATAATTGCTCTCGAGGGTACGATCGGTTCGGGGCTCGTGGAGTCGGAGAAGAGCGAAGAAACGGGGCCGACCAGAGACACGGTCGACGACCTCGTTCTTTTCGCACTTCTTCCTCGCCTTCTTCTCGGCCAGACGCGTTTCTCATCCCCTTGGAACCTTTTTTTCCCTTCTCTTCATTGCATCCGTGTTGTTCGACTACCGTGGCGCAAGTTGCAAGTGTAATAATGCGACGATTCTTTCTTTCTGTTTCTGCTCAATAAACATCGTCGCATGGATTCACGAATATTCCTAGTTCCTTTATCGAATGTTTGTTTGACTGATATTCACTTAAATGCAATTACAAAGATTGATTTCAGTTCCTTGAAATGAACCTTTTTAGGATTAGTTTTACGGGCAGCGTACCTCGTGTCGTATCGATATATTATTACTATTACTTCTCAGGTAGTATTCATTATCGATAATGCAATCTAGCCCCATCAGGATGACGGATATCGTTCAAAATATTTTCATTCGTTGAATTCTCACAGATTCCAGTGGTTATTTTATTATGGTACCTACAGAGGACCGAGTATCTTGACGTAGCCGTCTACTGTATCGAAAACCGATACGGTATCGAGAATCAATGTAATCTGTAGCAAATCTCGGTCGAGTTTTAAGTAATCCAATACTGATATTCCGAATACGTACTCTCGGAGCGCTGTTTTGGGTACATTCGCGGTGGGCCCCGTTTCGTCGTGAAATAGCGTGACCCCAGCGACGTTCGCTACGAATCTCCGACAAAGTAATTACATCCAGCGGCGACTGGATTGAATTTCAAACTTTCTGAATTTTATATCGCACCCCCCCCCCTCCCGCCAATCAACTGCTCCCTTATTCAGCGCGCTTTTTTTCAAGCTCGCTACACACTTTACGCGCGTCCCGTTCCCCCTTGGTTCGTAATTTAAATAATTGGGTTAGCCGTGGTGGTTCACGCGCGAGAGGGAATTAAGCTTCAATTAAATTGAATTAAAATCCCGGTATAAACGTGGCTGTGACGCAGCCGGCGAATTAAACTAAACAAAAGGACGGGTCTCCGTGTAATAATGGATTTAGTCGCCTTCGACCCCCTGCCCTACGACGGAACCAGAATCTGCGAAAAGACCGTTAAAACGTGCCCCTTCGTGCGCGTCTCACTCGGTAATGGGATTAATTCGTATTTAATTTACCGAGTAAACGAAGCTGCCGGCTTGATATTGCGGTAGCCACACACACACGGGGGGGGGGGCGAATGCAAACAAGAAGACGCCTCGCGGAACAACTTAATTATCATAGGATACTCGTTTCGTTGATCACGCTCAAGGAAAAAAATAGAGCATGTGTTTTTTTAGAACAAAAAGGGTTATATTTCGTGCAGGAATTTATCTAGACCGTATTTGGCTACCGGTGTCAGAAACTTGAAGAGGTGATTGTATTGAGGTAAATTGGTCAGCTTGGAGGATATATCTGCTGTAACTTCGCGATTTTGTCGAAATTTCGTATTACGAGCCGTTCTTCTGCAATTCGTTTCGTTACATGCGAGGATATTATTACAGGTAAAAAGGAACGAGAAACTCGCCGGAAAAATCGGTTGCGCGAGCACGCGGCGATCGTTTTCGATGGGGAACGGTTTATTTTCCGGATCGTTGCTTCGGCGAATTAATTAGCGCGTTTTCCAGCGGTTCAAAGTAAACACTGGAAAAGTACAGTTGGTTGGAAACGTTTTCGGCTTGAAATTACCAATTCTGGATTCAGCTGACGCGCCTGTCTCGGAAAAGTGCCGAAATTTCCCGAACACAGCTTTGAATTAAAAGACGATATTTTTACTGTGAAACCCTCGACTTCCCTCTCGTTCGAGGTCGAGTTTGCTTTGGTCTCTTCGAATATAACGCTTTTACATAGGCAGTTAAAACGTTCAGGACCTCTAACGCAAACTGAGACAATGTACATTGCATCGAACTGAACTTGTTTCACGGAGAACAGTGGCAAACGTGAACGATTATTATTATTCGTTGTTTAACGCGGTATCGTTCAATTTAAATTACGTTCCGGTTAATGAATTCGCCATAATTTTCACTTGGTCGTTACCAAACACGATGTAATAGAGCGAGAATTAAGTGTTCAACGTCAGCGATTCGATCATGCCCCGAGGATCGTTAGCCGATTATAAATTTAGTATTCACCGGTGCCGGTAATAGGTCACCCCCTTTTGCTATCAGATTATCACGTTACAGGCCGCGATAGCAACAGTTACAGAGGGAAGGAGAGGGAGGGAGGTAGTGCAGTTCGTAATAACAGGGTTACGGGAGAAATTTCTGCTTCGTCGGTTCGCCGGCGAACCGGAGGGAATCTACGGGAGGATCGTGCCCACGTAATTTCGAGATTTAAACGTGGAAAGATTCTGCGGATAAGAACAGGGCCGGGAGGCGTATCGACTGCGGAGGGGACCGTGTCCGTGGAGGCCACGCGTAAATTCTTCAACCTGAGAATTCGGGCGGTCCGATAATTTTCTGAATACCCGTGGGAAATTCTTGTGAAAGGAATCCAACTGACTTCCTCTTCTTTTTCTTTTTTACGCCAACCCTCTACCCCTTGGTGCATGCTTGTTTCGCGACTTTCACGGACGTTCGATCGTCCCGTCCTCTTCTTTCGTCCCTCGATCTATGCCTGACAAAAAGATTCATTCGTGGCTAATCGTAATATGTATTGCTGTATCGCAGAGGCAAAGCCTGTTTCCATGAAGCTGTTCGGATTGGCGTCTAGCTAATTTTTCCGTCGGCCATTGGGCCCCTCCCCGATCCCAGTAATTATTGTAAATTGCGCTAAAATTACGAGTCCCAGACGGAATATTCCAACGTTTACATTACTACCGCGTTTGTTCGTCGGATTCACCGATGGACATTCAACGAGCTCATAATCATCGGTCCATAAACAGGCCGCCCGGCCGGAACACGAATCGGGGATATCGATCTGCTAGGCTTCCGGCTCCGCCAGTACGCGTGAGCCGATATTTCGGCCAGTAGAAACGCGTGTACAGTTAGGTCAACTGGAAGTTATCGATACACTCCACGCATTTCCGACTGTAACCGCGTGTTGTCTCGTGGAATAAAAAATTTGTCCACAGAAATTACGGGCGTACGCGAAACGCGTTGCGAAAACCGAATACGACAATTCTTTGGATATGAGCTTTAGGGGTTGTGGTGATAAGGGAAACGATACGAAAGCTAGCGATAGAAGCAGTTTTCCAGATCGTTAACATCCCCCCGGCGAAAAACCGCGGGAGGTGTCGTAATCTTATCCGCAGCCCTTATTTCGCTCGGTACTACCCCATAGGATGAATATTGTCAACCATAGCGTACCTCCATTTCGTCCGAGGCTTATCGATGGAGATGACGGCGGAAGGGGGTAGTGGAAAATCTTACGAGATAGCACGTTCTTATTCTCGTAAAGTCCTCCTTCTGTGTTTATCTTACACTTAACGCTAATCCGTCCTTGATAATCTGAACTCGTCGATCGAATATTCGTTCGATATTTTGCTTGCATAATTTTCGCGATAACAATCGTTTGATCGCCCTCTCTCGTACGAATTGTTTGTTTATACGGTCCCTTTGTAGACAGTTTCAATACCCCCTCCCTCGCCCCGAGTTGTTTTAATTCGATGGGCCTTTACGTACCAGTTGATTACCAAACGCTTTCATTTCTCCACCGGAAAATAATAACGATTCGTTACCCAGCGTGTCCGATGCGTCGCTTTGAAATAATAATTCCGTGCCCGTTGGAAAGCTCGAATTCGATATTTCCGTTTACACGGCACGCGCAACGAAATCACTGTCCCGTCAATATTGTGTCGTTCCATTTCGGTTTCGCTAATCCGCTTAACACGAGACACTACCGGTCTCGTTGCTCCTATTTCGAAAATGAAGGGGTGATCCAATTATTGTCGCGTTTCGAAACAGATATCACCCCCGCTGTTAAATATAATCACGCCGAAATCAGTGCCCGCTTTAACGTCTCTCCGATACGTTCGTTCTAATCGGACCAAACTCCATCCAAATAAAATCACGCGATTCGTCACGGATTAATGGGCGATACGAAAAATCTCTTCTGGCGTGGGACAATGAGAACTGGCAAAATCAGCCTCGGTGTTGCGTGTTATCGTGCTCGAAAAGGTCGGTGACAAACCGTTCTCCAATGGTGGGAGTACGCGTTCAGACATTCGAACCGATGCGAAGGATTCAGTTTCCATTTTCCACCGTTCGAAGTGAAATTTCGCGAGCGTGCCTTTGGAGTTTCCCGAGGGTTGTGCGCTTGACAGCCGCTGCCCGAGCGCACTGGTTAGTTTGGAGAGAATCGGCGGATGCGTGGCGGGCGGTGGGTGGCGAATAGGTTTAGGATTTCGGTGGCGTCTGTTCGTGTGTGTGTGTTTCTGTGAACACTACCAAAGCTTCGAAGGTTGTAGGTGTACGGGAACCATGCTCGTTCCGTCTACACGACTCTTTTCGAATCGTCTGCTGTCGGTCGGATACACGAGGGAAACTCT